AATCTCCCCTCCTGATACAATTTATTGATCAATGATCATGGGAAATTGAATATTTAAATTACGTTATAATGTAACTGCGCGTGTGCATGGTGGATTTTTCCGCATTTCCGTGAGATAATTTCGTTGCCATGCAACGTATAGTGTACAATAATTCATTTTCCTTCTTCCGCCCTTAGTTTCCACTCAAATGGTCCACTTTTCTGTAGCTGTACTACTAAAATTCGACATTTTTTCTGCGGGCAGCCAGAACAGTCATGTAATCGCGTTCGATTCAATTCTGATAGTGTTTTATGTCCGAAAATGCTTCCAATACTACAGACAGCAAATGGAGCAGCATGCTGGTTCATACCAATCAATGGACAATTTTGGAAATTTTGAAAAACTCACTTAAATTTACTCACGCTTGAGAGCGCTATCCGGCCCTGGTACAACCCAACCCCCAGACTATTAAGAGGAGAATCTTTTTTATGTTGCGTAGCACGCGCTCAAAACTATAGTGAATATGCTTTTCGACTGTATCTAAAAGTCCAGGGTCGAGAGTATAGGTCATCAGAAACCACAAAGTCAAAATGTTTTTAACCGACAGTACAGTATATAGCCGTTCCGTAACAACGGCTGAACTACAAACTTCGCATATAAATATAGCTACAACAGTCAATAATAATCTCGATTTTACTCTCGACTATTACTCATTTACTCTCGACCTATATACACTCAACCCTCGACTTTTAGATCACTCATTCTTTTCCACTTGATTGTGACTATATTCAATTTTTTATTTTTTTGATACGCTTCTCAAGCGGCAAACAAAATTAAGAAGTATGTTTAGTTCTTTATCTCTAACTAATTATGCTAAAATGAAGAGATTTTAGATGGTACGCCAAAGGCAAAGAGAAAATGACGTGTGAAGTTCAGTATTAGTTTTTCTTATATATTATTGCTGTATCGATATGGCGTCAATTTTACAGCATCGATGTCCAATGATAATAGTATTTCAATTGACAATATTTAACTATTATTTTGTGTTTCTCAACCGCCAGATACATTTAAAAGGGTTGCTAACTATATAAACTGCAAATAAAGCTGAAACAAAGTAATTTTGACAGGAACGCGTAAAAGACTAAAGGTTTCGAAGAAATTTGATCGCAAATACGCGACATTGTTAAAGTGCGGCTAACCACTAATATGATTTTTGGCATGTGTAATATTTGGGTCATTTGAAGAAGAAATGTAATATATTTTTATAATAAAAAATCCCATCTTGATCAATTTTTTCACTGTCAATTTTTTCAAGTTTCCGGATATTGATGTCATTAGGTGAATTGCAAATTAGTTTTCCTTTGTTTTTTTGTACCAAACATTCATCTAATGACATCATATCTGGAACTTTGACAGTGAAAAAGTTGATCAAGATGCGCTTTTTACAATAAAGATACATTACATTTCTTCTCAGAATGACCCAAATATTACACATACCAAAAATTATATTTGGGGTTAGTTGCACTTTAATCTTTTCGGGTAGTTCAGACACTGGACACGAAAGCAGATATACTAGCATTTCCGCACACAAAGCCTATATTGAACTTATTAATGAAACCATGGAGATAAAATAATAAAACGATATAAATACACGGTTAGTATAATTACGGAAAAGCAGGGTTATTCAAAGCTTCAATACTACAGGCGTGGCAATGCAATGAACTGGCTTCGTACCAAAAGTTGTTTTGCCCAAATAACAGCTCTGTGACTGTGTCGAGTGTGTGTTCGAAGTTCTGGTATCAATTATCATCAGATTAGTATCAGATATTGCGTTACGCAACTTTAATGCAAAAATTAAGACCAGTTAAGGACATTTGGAACATTACCTTAGGATTCTAGTAATATTATGTAGATGTATACTTTTCATACTTGATTTTTCAAGGACGTTTGAAAGAAAATCTTTTTTTGTAATTGTAATAGTTTCATATGACAATACTTCACCCAATATTATACCTCAAATTCAAAGTGTCCTATCAGAAAGCTAAGTTTGTGCCAAAGTGAGCATGAAATTTATCATCGAAAATCACGCCTTAATACGCCATCGTATTTGACGTAACGGGTGATTTGATCATATCATATGTGTGATATGATTCGCGTAAACCACGCGTGGCGATCACGCAAACAAGATGGCCGTCAAAATATACTAAGGAGTGATGAATTATCGAGTTTTCAAATTTCAAAGAAAGCTATTTTTTAAATTATGAAGCAAATTTTGAAAAATGTTATCATCAATACTCCAAACGATTTCGATATGTGATTCGACATAAAAGTGGCAAATACTTGCGTTAGTTAATAAAAAATAAAACATCGTATTCACGAAGGTTTGTCACAGCCAGGAGCGAACGAAATTTGCATATTCCTTGATATTCCATAGATACTCCATAGCGACCTTGAGTGTACGACATAATAATCATATTCTTGTGTTGTAAGTGCAAAATTAAGACTGCACCCAAGCATGGCCTATAGTGGGGGGTCTATAAATGATGTATTATTCCGAAAATTAAAAGCCAAGTTGAGAGCTTAAAACTTGCCACATTTGCCAAAGCGATTATCCGATATGAAAACACACGCATTCGATTGTCTATACGCAAGATAATTCGTAAACATGAAAAACTATTTATGTCATATTATCTTATTTAGGAATATTCTTTTTTTGTTGTCGAGAGAAATCTAAAGTAAAGATGATCTTATCAATATTCTTGTCATAGCAATTATCAATCTGTAATTTATGCCTACATTCTATGAGGCACAAATGTCAATTGGTATAATCCGTATTAACCCGCTAAACAGAACTTGCGCGATGAGCAATCTTTATACATCGGTATAAACATACGGAAAACACCATACTTGAATTTATATTATGCAATTTATATATTATACGACATGAGCGCACATGATAGAAGCGATATGCAATATAAAACAACACGAGACTATTTTATAATTATTGTATATTAATATTGATGCCCAGTGGGAATTCTAAAAAGTATTTATAACCTCAATCCTCAAATAATACATTACACCATGTACGTATAAACAAAATAAAACAAAATAGCGTTAATTGAATAAAAATTTTACATATTTGTCATTTGGGTATTAGTACACCGAGGGCCGAGAAAATGTAAAAATTCATTACACGGCACTATGATATTTAAACTCCGATTACCTTCATTTATATCCCCCAATAATAGACAACATACAATACAATACTCAATACGACAATAGTCAATAAACAAGTAAAACAACTAAATATTACAACATTATATTCACCTTTATATGTTGATGCACCAAATACCCAGAAGAAATATCATATACATATAGACTGATATTGTACCTCTGTACAACTTCCGATCATTTATATAGTGGCATATTTAGCACTTGTATAATTTCAGCGAAAATTCTAGAAGCATTCGCAGACCTGCACTTGGCTTAGCCCTTAGAATTGTAACTCAGATATACTGTACAGTATACATTCTCATAGACATTCCAGACTGTTCTTTTGCCCCAAGGATTAATGCGAATATTTATATAATGAGTGAACTTTTTAATCATCTCATATTGAGAAATATTTAATGGTAATTTGAAACGTATATATACGTATTCATTTCATTAATTAATAATACGTTAAATTCAATCAAGATTCAAGACGACGACGGCAAAGCCAAACTCAATCAAATAAATGACTGCAAATATCAATGACAATGGTATGACTATATGAATTTAATACTGCTTGACAAGTTAAAAAAATGGTTTAATAATATAAATATCGTAACTATATTTTGCAACTATAGAACTTGTGTTTCTTTGTCTTTATAGTTTATAATGTGCATAGCATGCAAATGCAATAATTGCATAGCCAATTATATGAGTAAAAATATCTTGATGATTAACTGAACTCTGAAGAGAAGGAAGAATTCATTTTGCAAAGATTATGTATGAATTATGAGACTCTAAGATAAATGTCGTTCGTCTCCAATCTCATTTAAATCATAATGTCAATGTTTACATACAGTCATACTCTATAATCTATATCACTATTAAAATTGTATATCGACCAGTCCAACCAGTACAATCTATGGCTTATAAGCTGATATTCTCAACTTTGTAATAACGACATTTGGAATTGTGGATAGATATTATAAAGATATACGTATTTCTCAAGACCAAAGTTCATTTTCAGTTTTTTGAAAGTCTAAATTTACCATTGGCATTGTACTGCCTTGCATGCATGCACCCAGCCAATTTCCTGACCTCGCGACAAACGTTGCATAAAACAAGACGTAAAAATCTGTGCTTTGCCGTTGTAACAAGAACGAGGACGACATCGAAAGAGCTGTTTTACACTTTCAATTTTTGCTGCGGTTCTTCTTCTGATGGATGTGAACGAGTGGGTGAGCTATGAATGTTCAGATGGCGGTATATACTGTATACTCAGAACAATAATCTCCTCGTTTAAATTCATTAGAAGAATATCACGGCAAAAATTGCAAGTGTAAACGGACGTTGAAACTCCTGTGGGATTTTAATAATTCATTTATTTTGTAACATACTATATGAACTTAATTGTATTAATATTAGCCGTCGTCATATGACGATATATATAGCCGTCTTTTATCGTAAGTCTCTATACAGTACTAAATATGGCAGGCGAAGAAGTATCGCTCGAACCGTTGAAGTTGGTACGGAACTTTCAAGGCATAGCCATAGACTATAATTGCATTCTTCAACCAAGTCTTTCAATATAAATATGAATCTATAACTATAATATTGAAGAGGTTGGTCAAAGACAATTATATTTCGATGTTTTGAGCAAAAGAACTTCGACTCATGCGAAGGGCTTTAACTCGATCGTCGCAGTATACATTATATATTTTTCAAGTAGTTGCAACAAATGTCGAGCCTATATTTAAATATATTCTTCGTCGCTACACTGCGGAGTTCGACACTCTAGAATTTGAACTGACCTTATAATCCTTATTCATATCAGCTTACAACCAAAACATATCACATACAAATGTATATCCCTTGCCAACAGTAACACCGTTTGAATACACTACAGTATATTCTATAGCTTTTCACATTGATTAACCAAAAGCGATTGAGCAACGGTACAAATTCCGATTCTCACAGAAAGACAGCCACGCTAGGCAGGAGGGCAAAAGGTAAAGCGATATAAAGGAAGCGTAGACATCATTATTTTGAAAACAAAACAACTCAACAGGCCATGACTGACCCTTGAATTTATAATTAAATATTTATTTGACTTGGTAATGAGTCGGCGTATGCCTTTTGTCACGAGTTGGTTATTGAGTTGGTATATACTATTCGCGATGATGATGATAAAATGATATATAAAGACATGGTTAATAGAGGAGATTCATGCATGCTTGATATTTACTCATATCAAATCTTGATATTTACCCATTACCTATACATGGCAGTACTTCTAGTAGGCCTATATATACATGAACTTGTGGTTAGAGCTCGACAACTGACCTACTGTAGCTCAGTTGGTTAGAGCACTGCACCGGAATCGCAGGGCCGCAGGTTCAATTCCTGCCAGGGGTCTAAAGTTGCATTTTTCACTTATACATATTCCTGGTTATGTCTAATGAATGTACAGTATATAAATTTCCACTCGACAATACCCATCAAATGATACATAACCATTTCGTGCGCTACTTTTTTCAGTATTTTACTATATTGTAACAATTTCTGTAACATTGTATTGTAACATTCTCGGAAACTACAATTCAAAGAAATCCTTGCCATACCAACGAAAATCCGCTGTACCACCGTCTTACAACCATGGGCAGTGAATCGCTAATATTTGCTCTCGTGAAATGGGAAAGGACGGGTTTTTGTGTTGTGAAACGGGGATTTACATGTATATATACATGCCTATAGCCGCCTTCAGCCTGCCGTTAATTATTCTCCGGCAAACAAGAATTTGGGCCAATAGGCCAAAGACTGGACGAGTATAGTGAAAAGTGTGAACGTAAAACCAGTAAAACAGAGCAATGCTTTGGATGTAACAATTTTACGGCATGTATTTTCTTGATTTTTACTACATATATCGATTGGTTTTATTAAAAAAAGTCTCGAAAACGAAAAGTTTTGAAAACGTAAAAATAAGCTGACGGGTTAAGAAAGGCATTCAATACTCAAGATATAGGAAATAAAATTTACACATTCAAAAACGTGTTTCTCAATGTTTTACTTTTCTTTTACATGTGAAACGTGAAGTGTCTTCCTGAGATCTTATCAGTGGGACACAAATAGGGAATAAAAATTACGAGTCCTATAGATCTAATTATAACATACGGATTCCCCAAGCTGTCATAAAAAAGTAGGATTTTATGAGAAAAAGTAGGAAAATCAAGCAATTTTTAATAAAAAATAGGAAAAGTAGGAAGTTGAAGAAAAGTAGGAAAAAGTAGGAAAAGTAGGATGACAAGAAAGCCTGAAATTCAAATTAAAACCAATTCCAAATTGCAAATTCAATACTCAAGATATAGGAAATAAAATTTACACATTTAAAAACGTGCTTCTCAATGTTTTACTTTTCTTTTACATGTGAAACGTGAAGCGTCTGTGTTTCTTCACGTCTGTTGATCCAAATCGCCCACGAAAAGATCACAAATAACTTAAACACGTACTATCTAACATGCATGAACTGAATTACCACCGTTGGAAGCAGCCCTTCGATCAAAACTAGTCAATGTACAAAGTTTGGTCACATTGAATAAATCAAATATGAATAGTAACCTTTTGAAAATTAATAATTTAATACCAATTACTATGGATTGTGAGAACAGGGTGTGGTAAATTACGTGGTCTGTTGACCCATGCAAACTAACAAAATTTGCACTTTGCTAACAAAATTTGCACTTTGCTAAGTGGACAAAAGTGCCAAAATTTTGAACCAGTGTGCCTATCATAAGTTACCTCTACAGGCAAGCAAATAAAACTTGACATAGAAAACTTGAAATAAAAAACGTGACATAAAAAACTTGACATAGAAAACTTGATATAGAAAACTTGACATAGAAAACTTGAAATAAAAAACTTGAAATAAAAAACTTGACATAGAACCCTAGACATAGAACCCTAGACATAGAAAACTTGACATAGAAAACTTGAAATAGAAAACTTGACATAGAACCCTAGACATAGAACCCTAGACATAGAAAACTTGACATATAAAACGAGACATAGAAAACTTGACATAGAAAACTTGACATAGAAAACTTGACATAGAACCCTAGACATAGAAAACCTAACATAGAAAACTTGACATAGAAAACTTGACATAAAAAACTTGACATAGAAAACTTGACATAGAACCCTAGACATAGAAAACCTAACATAGAAAACTTGACATAGAAAACTTGACATAAAAAACTTGAAATAGAAAACTTGACATAGAAAACTTGACATAGAACCCTAAACATAGAAAACCTAACATAGAAAACTTGACATAGAAAACTTGAAATAGAAAACTTGACATAGAACCCTAGACATAGAACCCTAGACATAGAAATCTTGACATACCTGTAGAAAACTTGACATAGAAAACTTGACATAGAAAACTTGACATAGAAAACTTGACATAGAAAACTTGACATAGAAAACTTGACATAGAAAACTTGACATAGAAAACTTGACATAGAAAACTTGACATAGAAAACTTGACAAAGAAAACTTGAAATAGAAAACTTGACATAGAAAACTTGAAATAGAAAACTTGACAAAGAAAACTTGACATAGAAAACTTGACATAGAAAACTTGAAATAGAAAA